TGCGGCCCGTGCGCAGACGAGAGCCCGCCCGTGCAGTGCAGCGGCTCACCGGCACGCCCGTGGGGCGACGTGCTCTTGGGAGTGGATGCCCCTGAGTAAAGGGGCCCCAGGACACACAAATAAATACACACAAATAAAAGGATTCCCCATATTTTCCTGTATTTTCTCGGTTGTTGTCTCCCCCCCCACTCCCCATATTTTCCAATATTTTCCTGGGAGCCGACGATGAATTGTGTCTGTGTGTGTTTTCCCCCTCCTGACCGAGGACGCGTGCTGTCCTGCTTCGGGGCACGCCCTTTTTATCGGCGGCGAGCCCCTCCCGCCGGGCTCCGCCCGCCCGCCCGCTCGGGCTCTAGCCTCCGCTCGTCCGCCCCCCCTTCGCGTCGTGCAAGACCACGACGGGAGGCTTCTCACTGTGTTCAGCCTCCGGGGCCCTCTATATCGGGGATGGACAGACCCCCCTTTAGTAGAACGTGGTTCAGTGAAAACGACCTGAGGCCCAAACCTGGCGGGCGCAAGCCTGGAAAATAACGGCCGCGGGGCCCTCTCGAGAACCGAAAACGGACAATTCACTAATCGACGTGTCACTGTTGGGGGTTCTGTCCACCCCCGACTCTATACCGGGCCTCGGGGCCGTGAACAAACGACTCCGGACGAATAGCCGGCCCCGGGGAAGGGGTCCAGACCTCTGAGGGTCGAAGTTGTAAAAAAGACTAACCTGACGAAAAACCCAACCATATGCAGCTGCGAGTACCGCGAGGGAGACGAAACGAAGGAGGGGGCGCGCAAATTCCGGGTCGTGAACCGAGTGAAAGGTGCGCCGAACTGAGTCGCGGGGACGCATGTAAACCCTGCCACTGGGATCTTCGGTGGACCTTCCTATAGGGCCACGGACCGTGTGAAGGTTGCGCCGAAATTTGTCGCGGGGACGCATGTAAACCCTGCCACTGGGGTCTTCGGTGGAGCTCCTCATGGAGCCACGAGCCGTGTGAGGGGTGCGCTGAAATGGATCGCGGGGGCGCATGTAAACCCAGCCAGTGGGGTCTTCGGTGGAGCTCCCTATGGTGCCACGAACCGTGTATGGGGTTGCGCCGAAATGAATCGCGGGGACGTATGTAAGCCCTGCCACTGGGGCCTTCGGTGGATCTCTCTATGGGGCCGCTAACCGTGTGAAGGGTGCGCCGACATGAGTCGCGGGGGCGCATGTCAACCCTGCCATTGGTGCCTTCTGTGGAGCTCCCTTTGGTGCCACGAACCGTGTGACGGGTGCGCCAGACTGAATCGCGGGCGGGGACGCATGCAAACCCTGCCACTGGGGCCTTCTGTGGAGCTCCCTTATGTGCCACGAACCGTGTGAGGGGTGTCGAAATAAGTCGCGGGGGCGCGTGTAAACTCTGCTACTGGGGCTTTCGGTGGAGCTCCCTATGGTGCCACGAATCGTGTTACGGGTGAACCGAACTGAGCGGCGGGAACGTATGTAAGCCCTGCCACTGGGGCATTCGGTGGAGCTCCCTATGGTTCTGCTCATTGTGTGAGGCGTGCGCGCCGACATGAATCGCGGGGACGCATGTAAACTCTGCCACTGGGACATTCGGTGGACCTCCCTAAGGTACCACGAGCCGTGTGCGGGGTGTGACGGAATGATTCGCGGGCGCGCGTGTGAACCCTGCCATTGGGGCCTTCGGTGGAGCTCCCTATGGTACCACGAACCGTGTACGGGGTGTGCCGAAATGAGCCGCGGGGGCGCATGTACACCCTGCCACTGGGGCCTTCTGTGGAGCGCCCTTGGGTGTCACGAGCCGTGTGAGGGGTGTACCGAAATTTGTCGCGGGGGCGCATGTCAACCCTGCCGCTGGGGCCTTCAGTGGAGCTCCTCATGGGGCCACGAGCCGTTTGAGGGGTGCGCAAAAATGGGTCGCGGGGGCGCATGTAACCCCAGCCAATGGGGTCTTCGGTGGAGCTCCCTTTGGTGCCACGAACCCGTGTGAAGGGTGCGCCGACATGAATCGCGGGGACGCGTGTAAACCCTGCCACTGGGGCCTTCTGTGGAGCTCCCTTATGTGCCACGAACCGTGCGATAGGGGTGTACCGACATGAATCGCGGGAGCGCATGTTAACCCTGCCACTGGGGCATTCGGCGGAACTCCCTTTGGGGCCACGGGCCGTGTGCGGGGTTCGCCGTCACGAGAGCCGCGGGAACACAAAAGTAAAACCTGCCACTGGGGCTTCTCGGTGGAGCTCCCTCTGGTGCCACGGGCCGTGTGAGGGGCGTGCCGACATTGGCGCGTCGTCAGGCTCACGGATGGAGGATGGAGGGGGTGGCGGGAAGAGGCGGAGGAGGAGGAGGAGGAGGAGGAGGAGGAGGAGAGAAACACAGGAAGGAAGGAAGGACGGAAGGAAGGAAGAGAGGAAGGAAGGAACGCGGGGCGCAACACCACAGGATGGTTGGGAATTGCAGCGTCGGGGTTTTGGGTATGGCGGGTGCCCACGGGTGTTGACCAACATGTAGGTCGGGCATGTCCTCCTTTAGGGGGATGTCGAACGAACTACTATAAAGAGTTAAAACATACCCCCAAATCACAACAATAACCAATCGTCCCCAGACTATCTTTGAGTATTTTTTTGAATCTCCCTCCTGTACAGGGACGTGCCCGACTTAGACTTACATGGGGGGTGGAGAAATGGGCCCTAAAGGGGCCCTAAAAGGAACCCTTTTGGAGCCAGCCAGCGCCCCCTCGGGAACCAGCATTGGAAGGGACCTCTGAAGCTTTCGCCAGGCCTGCGCAGTGTCCATAAAAGCAAGAACGCAGCTGGGCACAGGAGGGCGTGCAGGCAGCTGCGGAGCTCGGACATGCAGAGGCAAGATGCGACGACGCCGCCCCTGGGAGAGCAGCGCGGATGGGCTTGCGACCGAAGACGGGCAGTTAGGTCGGGCATGCCCTCCTACAGGGCGGATTTTGGACGAACAATCAAAAATATTCAGCACAAATTCAAAAATAGTCAAACATATTCGAAACATCGCCCCCAGTATTCCTCCTGTAAAGGGACATGCCCGTCTTAATCCCAGAAGGGGGTTGCGACCGAAGACGGAGAGGGGTGGGGTTGTACATTCTGAGCGGCACGCGAGCAAATAAGAACGAGCAGCGTCAACATGCATGCGGTTGGCTTCTACATAGATCTTGTGCACCTCCAGAGCGCTCCGTCCCCGGAGTTCTTGGAACCAACGCGGTGACCATAAATCAGAAGCGGGCCGCTATCGCTGCACGGGAAAAAATATGAAGGCCTCCGAATTATCTGTAGTTATGTCCTCCCCCTTCGTGCTCTATCCAGCAATGTCCGCCACCGTGCCTCGAGCCAGGAAGTGGAATGTCCTCACGTCCGCCCGAATTCTCCGTGCTGACCGCTGTGATAATCTTTACGCGGCCCACAGCCCAGAGTTCCGGGCGCGGCCGAGAGAATAGGGGAGCGATTCCACAGTGCACCCTCCCCCGCTCCCCCAAACTCCAAATTGGCACGCGCGGGGAAGACTGTGGTCAAAGCGCAGCTCGCTCAACCTACCGCCAACATTGATCATTTGGGGGGGGCGTTGACAGATGAATGCGGCATGAGTGTTCGCTAATTTCTTCCGAGGCCTGGATCTTGGGCGCTCTTCCCCGCGTGACCTTCTCGGATGCAATCGGGCCCCCAAGACGGCCCAAGGAGGGCCCCGAGCCGCCCCGAAAGCTCGCTGCAGGTCGCTCAAGATGGCCTCCAGGCTGTCCAAGAGGGCCCCTAAGAGGACTTCAAGACGCCCCCCAAGAGGGCCCCGAGAGGTCAACGGTTCGCTTTTTGGGGTTGAGCATGTTTTGGCAGACTGCAGCGTTCTCGCCTTTTTCGGGCTTCCGACGCTTCAGGACTGCCTACGAGGCCCCCAATATCGCCCCAAGATGGCCCGAGAGGCGCCAAAGAGGGTCCCCTGTACTGCCCAAGAGGGCCTCAAGGTGGCTCACCAGGCTCCCCAAACGGCCCAAGACGGCCCCAAGGGGGCACCTAGAGGGAGGGCCCAAACTTCTGTTTCGAGCCCTCCGCCCTAACATGACCACCGACACCGCCAGCATAGATGCCCCCTAATAGTCCCGGCAGATAACGCCAGATACCCCACAGCTACACATAAGAGGCTTTCGAGAGGTTACTTAGGAGATCCTAAGAGGCATCCAAGAGGCCTCTGACCTGCGACCTGGGCTTCGTGGCGGGATGGGCCGGATGCCATTCGATATCCCTCCCCCCCGCCCCTCGTCACAGAAGATGAGTCGGCCTCCCTCTCATCCCCAGCCCCTGGTTCCCTCCCCTCTCTATTCCGCACTCCCCTCTCTGCCTCCTCTTCTCGGCGGCGAGCGAGGGGGGGAAGTAAGAAGGGGCGGGCCTTCTCAGAAGGCTCGGAAGTTCCCCGGCCTTCTGAGCAGTTCCCTGAGCCTCCTCGAAGACACAGAACACTTCCCAAAAAACGCGAGGGCTTCTGAGAAGTCCCGCCGCCTTCTGAGAAGGCCTTCTCCTCCTCATTCCCCACCTCGCTCGCCGCCGATGTTCCACGTCCCGTTCCCTCTCTCCTCCCACTGCTCCCTGGAGGATGACCCGCGAGATGGATGATGATGGGCTTGACTGATCATTCTCCTGCTGCTCCTGCCCCCCTGCTGCTGCTCCTCCTCCTCCTCCTCCTCCTCCGGCTCCTCCTCCTCCTCCTGCTCCTGTTCCTTCTCCTGCTCCTCCTGCTCCTCCTGCTCCTCCTCCTCCTGCTCTTCCTCCTCCTGCTCCTCCTCCTCTTCCTCCTCTCCCGCGTCGTCGTTGTCGTCGTTGTCGTCATCGTCCTCTTGCCTTCTTGTTCTCCTATGTCCCCCTCCTCCTACTTCTCCTCTTCCTCATCTGTCTCCTCCTCCTTTTCCTCCTCCCCATGATGATGATGATGATGATGATGATGATGATGATGATGATGATGATGATGATGATGATGATGATGATGATTA